GTCCCGCTCGCTGCCGGGTGCGGGACACTAGTATAGGGCCGTTTGGCTCCCCCGGTGCGGGGCTGCCTCCGACCTGCCTGAGGGCACATAGGACGCCGCTGCGCTGAGCGAGGGGATTCGCCTGCGGGGCCGCCCTCCGCTTCCTTGTGCTGGCGCCTGCCAAGTCCAGGGTGCGTGTCGTGGGATCATCTTTCTGCTGTTGGCAGAGCAGCGGGCTTTCTTCTTCTTCCAATAACCCCATGGACTGCAGATTCACGGGGCTTCGAGGGAAATGCTGGTGGTTTTGTTTAAAGCTTTCTCCGTGTTGCATTTTCACAAGCGCTGTCGTCTTTTCTTCAAAAACTAACACAGTTAAGCTTGTGTAAGTCTTAGCGTAAAAATAATATGGATGAACCACGTGTATGTTAAAAGTTATTCCTGTTTTGTTGCTTCTACGTTCTAGGTCCTCATGTCTCCACTTAAGTAAACTCTTGTGCTCCTGTAATGTGTGCTGTGCTGGCCACCTTGGTGTTGGGAAGGGTTTTGCGTTTACAGCTGGGATTGCCTTGTGAATAAACATAAGGGTCTTAAATGGAACTGTTGGGTCCAGTGAAACAAAATGGTCCATCTAGATCAGTGTCTTGTTTCTCAGGAAAGTAAACGCTGGCTGGCTGCTTCAGGTGTGTGAAGCTATTGAACTATAAAGCAACGCAGTTTCAAAGTGCACTTAGTTGTCAGGAGTAATTAGGCTTTAACTGAAAGCACAGAGTGCTTTCACTGTGATTCATGACTGTACATAAGTGGTTAACTCCCGGGGCCATCGTTAATTCCTGAGATGGAATTAACAATGAACTGAACTTGAATCCAGATTTCCTCTGGGGGTTCCTTCTTTTGAGCAGAAGGTATTAATATCTTCTCTTTCTGTGCTTATACATATCAAAATTAATTAAGATGAAAAAGAAGGCAAAAGCATCTTTAAATTGTACTGTGCACTTGTTGGCATGCTAGGTTTAATCTCTTCTTCCCCATCCCAGACTAGCTGGCCTGCTCTTTATTGTTTCTGGCTTTAAAGACTTATTTAATTTCAGTATTTGAGAAATACACTTTTTATTTGTTCTTGTGTAGCCTTGTAATAACTTCATCCAGCAGTTTCTTGGTTTCATTTACATGTTATAATCTAGATTAGTGGCTTTCAATCTTTTTTTATTTGCGGACACGTAAAACAATTTCAATGAAGGTGCTGACCCCTTTTAAATTGTAAGCATGGGTATTTACATACTTTGATCATAGTAATCTTTTGTTAGACCCCTTAGACGTAGTCTGCAGACCCCCATAGGTTGAAAACCACTGACCTAGATTATAAATTCCTTGTGGCAGGTACCGGCTTTTCACTAAGTGCTTCTGCAGTGTCTGTATATTTTAGAAGGAATAGTAAACTTTGTGCATCAGGTCATAGGCCAGCCTCTAATTATTTGAAAATGAGACCTCTTGGGGAGCTTGTAGATTTTCTTACATCTGTCTGCTGAGGGGTTTTCATAGCTGTCTGTGACGGACTTGTCGGAGAGAGGCTTCTGGACCAGATGGACATTGGGTCTGATCTGGTGGGGCAATAGCTGTGCTCTTACGTTTGCTTATGGCAGTAACATGTCACACTGATCAGTGGGTAATGGCTTTACCAGAATACAAAGGAAGGCCCATGCCCAATGCTCCTTATGTCTGCTTTGGGCATGGTGCAGTTATTTCCAAACTGGGTTTGAAATATACCCAGTATAGCAGAGAAGTTTGGGGGAGTGCCTCTGTAAGGTGTATAACCAAGCAAGAAGAAGAATGCAGGGCTTGATCAAAAACCCAGAAGCTGATGGGAGTCTTTCCATTGAATTCCCAGGGCTCTGGATCAAGCCTGTGGGTGAATGGAAAGTACAGAGGTTGGAGATGGAAGGCAAGAATGGTTTGGGATATAAATTAAAACAGTGTTTTAACATGTAGAGGCTACAAGTATGTGGTTTCTGTTCAGTTCAAACACAATAACTTGTGAACTGTTGTTTCATGTGGCTTAGGTATAGGAGTGACAGGGCTTCTAAGCGTCATTTAGCAGC